CGGAGTTCTTTTGCCGAGGGGGTCCGGAGCATGCTCTCTCTGTGAGATCGGGTGGGACGGGTTGAAATCGTGGGGGCGAGGCGGTCCCTCAGGTAGCCTTACTGACTGCATTAAACCTAAGAGAGCACATAGATTTACACCCACCTTGTTTGTGAAGGAGTGGCTAAGTATCTCCAGACTCTCTGCAGCGCATGGAAGCTGATGTTTCTAAATGTTACTTAATATGCCTTATCTGGAGGTGTGAGATGCATTGACACAAGCTGCTTTTCATAACATTGCTCACTGTCCCTGCCATTCAATTGATCTGCACAAGAACTGAATGTATACACCTGGGTAAAAGCCATGTTGTGAATCCTTCGGACACTAATGCTGGTGAATGGCAAAAGGTGGCATTGCACGTGGAGTCCAGTGCACTGGGGATGTTGCCATAAGATAGTGGTCCAGATATGTATTTGTATAATCTGAATGGGGAGTCTGACCTTCCAGATGCTGTAGAATTGCAGTTCCTGGCAGCCACTGTCACTGTTCTGAAGGATGCTGGGAGCAACAGTCCTAGTGCATTTGAAGGACACCAGATTAAAGATGGCTGCCTTCAATTACAGTTCCTCTTTGAAGATTGATAAATGTTTTTGAACTCCTTTAAACGAGATGCCATAATTATGGTGTTGGACAAGAAGGGCTCAACTCCACCCCATACACAGAAACTTATTGGGTGATGTTAATCCAGTTGTTACTTCTCATTCAACTTATCTCACGAGGTTATCTGGAAAAAAATACAGCAACATATATGGAATAAAAAAAAAACCCCAACCACTGCTATCCTTACTAAACGACTCTACCTGAAATTAGTGCTGAAGATGACAGCTATTTTGCTTTGAAAACTCTGGATAGTGAGTAAAATTTCCAGAACTGTGGCTGGAACATCAGTTCTTCGCTCCTCATATTTGTTTGCAGTCTCTCTTGGTGATCCTTTTCTTCACTGCAGTCTGTATCTCCACTTTAGGTAGGTACCTATGTAGTTCCAGCTGAGAAGACAAGGGAAGACACCTACTCTTAGATTTTGGATGAAATGGTTTTATGTGTCTCTTTTCAGATAGTACTGTGTATTCAGTTACCACTGAACACGACAACCTTGCCCTGTGGCATGTGACTTAGATTTCAGTCTCAAAGTCCTGCCCTGACAGCAGAAGTGTTGTCAGAAAAATGATCGAAGGGTGGCTGGAAGGCTATCAGAGTGGATGGAGATTCTAGTTTTTGATCCTTTATGATGTAAGAGTTATGGGTAGTGGGGAAAGAACAGTCCAGTAACCTGCCACAGAAATTCTGCTTTCTGATCTAAGGGACTCTCCCTCTCTGGATGATGCCAAATTCTGTTATGCTGCTAGTAACATTCAAGTTGGCTAATCCCCATCCCTCAATATAGTATAACTGCGCCTAACTTTTGAACAATCCTAAATATAGATAGATGTCACTTTATTTTATTTTAGCCTACTTTTATCTTAGAATTTAATTTTTTAGACAATATTCTGGAGAAAATTGGATTAAAGTTTTTTTAGTCCTAGAAAGGTCGCTTACAAGTGGTAACAATAGACACAATAATATTCTGTATTAATTCTTTTAGCTTGTGCTTTATGTTTGGTCCTCCTCTTTTAAGCAGTTAATTGCTTTGTTCTATATGGTCTTTGACTGAAAGTTTGACTGACTGGCAAAGGCCCATCTTGGAGGAACATCTTCAGTTAACACCTTGTTTGTACCTGCAAGGGGATCCTCTCGCTATTTCAGTGATTTAGACACGTTGTACATTATAAATACGTTGTCTATTGAGCATCGCTCATCTCCTTCAATAGCATACCTGATCAACTTCTACATTTTAATGTCATTCACTACTTTTAATTTTAAAGTGTATAAATGCTAAAAATACACATCAGCTAGAACCATCTCCTGCCTGCAGTAATAAGTGGCTTATAAGTGTCTATCCAGCTGTCAGCCAGAAGTCATGGACTTCATTCTCTATTATCCCCAACCAATATAGCCAAAGTAAGGGATTGAGGGCATTGTAGTCCAAGAGCACCAAGTTGCCTTCCCCTGCTGTAGGCAACCCATAATTCAGATTAGCCATTAACTATCTGCTTAAATGAGATCCAGCACAACCCATGTTCTTGGATTCTGGGTTGGGAGAAACAATACAGTAGCTATTTTTAGAAGTGTTGCTCTTGCGGCCAATTATGCACAACTGTCTCATGCTGATCCATGTGGTGGGTGACTGACCCACACCAATCACAAAGCATTTTTTTTTTCTAAATCGGGCTGAAGGCATTAGGGAAAAAGCAACCTATTGTGCTAAACTCTTAGTCAACAGTTTCATGGTATGTGAAGGGTCAGCAGGCCTCTTTAAATACAAGTATTTCTTAAAGGGGCAGGCCTGTGAGAGTCCTTGCTCTTCCAGCCAAAGAGTAGGGAGCTCTCCATGTCAGAAACTTCTCCTTTTATAATTCTCCCTGGAACTGGTGCTCATTCTTGGCAATTTCCTCAGCAGCGGTCCCTGCTCTCCTCTTGCTGCTCTCTTCCACCCTCTTTTAAAAACCCTCTTTTATTCCCTGTCGTTAAAAAGATACAAAGGAAAATAGGTGGGTTCGTAAAGAGAGACCGCTGTGCTTCCTTTCGCGCCCTGCCTTGCAGGGGGCAGAGTGGGGCATTGCCACCTGCAACCCCAGGACTGGCTCTGGCCCCGCAAAGCCGTGTTCTGAAGACCAGCCGAAGAAACGTGTTGGCCCCCTCCTGCCCAGGCTCATTTTCCCCAGCTTGCTCCAGCCCGGGGCCCCTCGCCAGGCAAGGGGGGCTGAGCTCCGGCGGCCCCACCGCCACTGCCGGCACCCACCAGCCGCTCCTTTGGCGGGGAAACAGACTCGAGGCCCCGCCCCCTGCTCCCTTGGCCCCGCCCCGGGCGAACGCCCCGAGTTGCGCTCTCCACCTGCCAGCCGCTCCTTTGGCGGGGAAACAGACTCGAGGCCCCGCCCCCTGCTCCCTTGGCCCCGCCCCGGGCGAACGCCCCGAGTTGCGCTCTCCACCTGCCAGCCGCTCCTTTGGCGGGGAAACAGACTCGAGGCCCCGCCCCCTGCTCCCTTGGCCCCGCCCCGGGCGAACGCCCCGAGT